GGCCAGTTACGTACTCCTCCCACTGGCTCCAAGTCCATAGGGCCTATCCCTGACCTAGTGCTGTTGTTTATAGGTACCAGGACACCTCCCCCTATGGCCACCATGGTAAGGGGCTGTTAAGCACTCCTTCCACTGGATCCACGTCCATGGGGGCACCTTTCCTGGCCCTCTTTACAACTTTCCCTGTATTCCTGGTAGTGATCCTATACTATGCTCCCACTCACGCAAGGCCCAGCGCTCTTCTGAACACCTCAAACTTGTCCTTTGGCAGTGCTTTTGTGAGGCCGTCTGCGACTTGTTGGTCTGTTGGGACGAACTGAAGATCAACCTCACCTCTATGCTGCTTCTCTCGGACGAAATGGTGTTGTACATCGATGTGCTTCGTCCTTGCGTGGAACTGAGGATTCCTTGCCAGTGCGATTGCTCCCTGGTTATCCCCATATATAATTGTGGCAGCTGGTGCATGCTCTTCTTCATTTGCTACCTGTAGCTCTGTCAGGAGTCTTCGTAGCCAGATAGCCTCCTTTGTCGCCTGGGTTTGTCCAATATATTCGGCTTCACAAGACGAGAGGGCCGTTGAGGACTGCCGTTTTGACGACCAGCTAATCGCACCACTCCCAAGGTTGAAAACGTAGCCTGAAGTCGACTTCCGTGTCTCACGGTCTCCAGCCCAGTCTGAGTCAGTGAAGCCGGTTAAGGGCTCAATTTCCCCTTCATACACTAGGCATAGGTCGATTGTGGCCTTCAAGTAACGCATGATCCGTTTCACGGCTGCTCGGTGTGCTTCTGTTGGCTTGGCTAGGAATCTGCTGCAATACGACACTGCATATGCTATGTCTGGCCTCGTCCCTAACATGGCATACATTAAGCTTCCGATCGCCTTAGCGTACCATGTCTTGATTTCATCGGTTGGCTCATAGCCCTCTGGTGTTTCAATCTGGTCGGTTCAACCATGGTAGCTGAGGTCATGCCCATCATAAACCCAGTCTCATTGTCACGGCACCAACCTGGCTATGGTCACGTGCCTCTCTGTACTTAGTCTGGACCACGTCCCACCTCCATAGTTTGCCCTCCTCATAGCACAACATAGATCTTCCCTGGCATCCTAGGTCTGTCCCGTGATACTAGGTGAGGCTTGATCCAGGTCGCCACTAACTGTAGTGCTTTGTTC